TGCTTATGTCATCACTTCCCATTTTGGACAGTCCTTGAGTCAGTATCCTCAGACTAGCCGATTCAGGAGAAAGGTCTTCATGCCGGTTGGCCAAGGAGGAAACGGATCCATGCCAAGCCAGTGGCCGACAGCGGCAAGGTCCAAGACTCCTTGAAGTATTTTCTTTCCCCTACCAATGAGATGCTACCAGGGTGCTTATATAGGAGGGTCCAAGCTTCTCATGGCCAATGGAAGATGGTTCTAGACATCTAACTTTCGGGGGCTGCACCAACGAGACCTTGTGCTCATTACCGACCCCACTGGCTTCTCATCCCTAATAAGAACCGTAATGGGATGCCGGGGTCATCCTACACCGGACGTTGATAAGCATGACTATGACTGATTCTTTCGGCGCATCTCGATCGTCAATCATCCTTCTCCTCCCCGACCGCACTTTTGCAATGAACTCCTCCGACGAATTGGGTCATTCTATGGGGGTATTCTGGTAAAGCTCTTGTCCGGTATGCACCTCTAAGGAGGTTTAGCTTTTGTCCCGTCAGTTAGATTGCCCGAGTCTCCTGCCACTAGGCGGCTCGCAATGTCCGTGGGCACTCCCCCTTTGGTTAATTTGGCACATTCCGATCCAAACTCGGCGCCGCAAGACATCTCTCCCGGTACAGAAGAACAAGGTTGGCGCTTTGATCCAAGTTTGTATTCTCCTTTCCTTCGCTCACAAGCTGATCAAGGTTTCGCAATAGCGACTCCGCAAAATGCCAGTCCACATCCAGTGAGGGTCAAAAGGCGAAGGCACCAGCCCGCGTCAGAAGACCCATCCAAGAACCAAGTTTTCTATTTTGTCGATTCAAACTCTTCTTCACGAGAAAAGCGAGCTCATGTTATGCGCCATCATGTTCAGGAGAAACGGAAACAACTAAAACACGCGCATCCTCGAAGCGACTCTGACAAGAGAGTTCATGCCCCCCTCCGCTATCTCTCTTGGCAGCAAAAGAAGTTGTTACTAAATGGCGATGATAATGAAGTCATTGAATATAAGCGATCGGAGGATGAGATCACCCCTAAAGGCTTCTCCACGGTAGGTCATTGGAGGTTCAACTCAATCGATGCTCTACTGACACCCAGGGCCGCTTCAGATGCCAGTCGGACCCCAAATACCTGCACCTGCTTCCTACTCTGTTTCGCCCGTCACCCTACTCGACGCTTCCGGAAAAGATCCTTTCGATAGCTTGCCGGTAACATGCACGAGAGAGGATTTCATATTAATGGACTGTTGGACAAACAGATTGACATACTGGTCAGGCGAGCCTAGACTCATCAAAGACCAAGTCTTTCGGGCGGTCCTGAATCACCCCCTGCCGTTTCAGTCGGTTGTCCTTGCATACTGCGCTCGTTGGAGGGCACAGGCATACGGTTTCAAGTGGAGCCCTGAGGTAGAACAGCACTTAGGGAGAACAACAAAGGGCATTGAACAGGTGATGAAAGGCGGCATGGAGATCGACACTGACAGCCTAGCGATGGCTTTGACGGGGATGGCAATACAAGAAGAAAGATTTGGTAGCAAGCAGCATGCCAGAGGATACGTGGACCAGGCTGTCCAGATCCTTCGTTCCAGGTCGGGATCTAATCGTGTTGCCGAAGCATTATTGCATTATGTGCAATTTATGTTGATGCCACTTCATCCAGCAGTTCCCGAAGACGGTCAGCAATGGCTGGTCACATTCCTTCGAGGAGCAGAAGAATTGATGCTAGAACATAGCACCGATGCGTATTTGTCATCTGTTCCCCAACGTCGCTCTGCGTTTCAAATGGACAGTCCTTTGTTCCCATTGCTATCCAGCGGACCTCGTCCTTCCCATGTTCCGCTTCAGTCACGCATATACATTATAACGAAGACTGCGCCGACCCAGGAGCTTACCCGTACTGCGGCTCTCATATACATTACAGCCGCCCTCTGGGATTTCCAGGGTTCTCCCAGCAAGACCGGCCGGTTTCTCGACCACATACGTGCGACTGTGAAAGATCATGAACTCGACAGGTTTCCCGCATGCGAGTCCTTCGTGTGGCTCCTCCTACTCGAAGGATATGAAGCCGACCTACAGGAACCCGAGAGAAGCTGGTCCACGAACGAGCTGCTGAAATTGTATAAACAGCTTCGGCCGGAACTCCAGTTCCTTTTCAGTGAGATTCTCCTCAGTCTCCTGATGCTTACTCCACCGATCCGGGGGATCGATGTATTTGAAAGAGAATTGTACAGCTCGATGCCAGAGGTCCAGGAAGAACCCTGAGCTACGCCCAAACCGGGTCACTGTTTTTCTTCATGTACATGTACTCTTTTGACCACCTCTCCGGACGCGACAACACTTCGACGGTTTGCAGGCAGCCGTGCGCCCATCTCATCTATGCCTTTGATCCTTGGACTGAACTTCTTGTATATACTACAACTGATACAGGGACAGGTGCCCAGCCATCACTTTCCCTCAGTACGGCTTCCCAATCCCCTGTACCTCATAACTATGGGACGTGTACCATCTTACGCACTCCGACCAGAGACAGTATGAACTAGACTTCATCTCACAAGAGATAGGAAACAGCGAGGGGGGTTTCTGTATATTATGCTTACTCTCGTTAATGGCTGTACCATGCTTTCTGGAAAGAAACTTCCTGCGTTCGGGTACGAAGGGCCGATGCAGTAACTGCGGAGACATTTATTGTGACCAGCCCGCCCTCTTAGTCTGGAGACCAAATACCATCACACTACTCAAGGTACTCGTGGATGTTGGAAAGGCACATTAGAGAAGCTCTTCCGCCCCCAACCCCAAAACGATAGAGATAAATGTACCACCCCATGTCTGGGAGCTACCGTAATGGCCTAGATTCGAAGAAATATATATATCACTTCGGCCAATCAGAATACAGTTGATCAATCCATCTCATAACGAATCTTGGCAGGTATCATTCACATGATACTAGTATCCATCCCACCTTTCCCTCGTGTACAGCAGATTCTCGCCCTCCCCAACAATTCGTCTCCATAGGCCAGGTCATCTTTTTTGCGTATTTCATGAGCCTTACGCTGTACTGCGCCCAGCAACTAGGCAATGAACGATAGCCACTAACTCTAAGCAATTTACTACCCGACTCGCTTACCTTCTATAGAAGGCAACGACTGATGTCCAACAAATCAAAGCAGTGTACCAACTCCTCTTCAAACCCTAGGAACCGTCTATACCCCTGCCACCACAACCAAAACTATTTCCAAGATCTCCGATCCAAGATGATATCACGATGATTGATCTACAATAAAACCCATCCGGAAACCGTGTGGCTGTGGCAGATGACGTTTCAAACGCAACCTTAAGAAGCATCCCTGGCTAGAAGTGTGGCTTGACCGACTGGTACCAGATCAAGCGAGCCAAGATCAGTCCATACGAGAAACAATGCCAGATAAGGCAGTGGAGCCACGATAGGTCACACGGTAAGACCATGAACGTGTAGTCGTCAGAGGCAGCGTGGGCCGCCGTGTGGACCTGTTCATTGTCGTTACTGGGTAGCGAGCAAAACTGTACCCCATACGGCGTTCGTGGTTCGCGCTAGGGATGGGCTTGGATGAACAATTTTTTAGGGGTGATGATACCGTGAGAGGGCTGTAAGGTTTGTGAGACTCTGGGCTTAGTTGTTTCTTTGGGATGTCACATCTTGAAGACTGGTTGATTCTTCTGATTAAGCTATTGGTACTCCGTATTGATGACTGGATTCCCAAAGACGGGGATACTCGGTCGGGAAGGATGACTTCATGTTGGGTTGATAGGGTTTGATTGTGTGGCTGGTGCAGCGGACAGGCCACGGGAAGGTGCCGATCAGCACCGGTTTGATTGGATCTGCGCAGCTTCGGCCAGTGGCAAAAGTTTGACAGACGCAAACAGGCAGTAGCACTAGCCACACCATCATAGGTTTTTGGAGGTATATTACACAAGATTACACCAGTGTTCTGAGTCCATACAGCATAGCTTGAGGAAGCGTTTCGGGGGAAAAGAATCCCCAAGAGATTATAGGGTACAGGCGTTGCAGGATTGAAGCGATACGAGATTCATCCTGCTGGGTGTGTTTCAAAATGGTTTCATGGTAGTACTGGATAATTTACAGTAACATACCATAGGACAAGGGCCTCCGTCAGGTTGTGTTGAGAGGAAGCGGTACCAGTACGGTAAGGTACAGGAACAGGTCGCCGTTCCTCGGGACCGGGTACATGGGTACGTAAGGTCAGCCCTCCTGTCGTTGAGGTACCCATGGATGTACTTTGGGGTAATGAACAGTACCTGGGATCCTGAGTCAGGAGGGTTTGCCACAATATTATACTCCGTAGGAGGTTGAAGAGACAGAGAAATGGTATACATTCCGAAAAAGCAAGATTAATTACAGAGAGTTTTCTCTTTGACGCTAAAAAGGATCTATTGAGCCAAGTCATCCACTTCGTAACCCAAAAAACGTTAGTCCAGCTGTTCTTATCTGGTGTTGGGAATTTTCAATGTTTCCAATTCGGGTCAAATTTTCATCATCTGCATCGTTTGATTGCTGCTACTGTCGATTATACATTGACGTTATTCTTCACCACCACAAATCCAATTGAGTTGATATATATCTTATTTTCTTTCCTCTTTTATAATGCATGGGAGGAAAATATGATGGCTCACCATCAAATGAGAAACATGAGTAAAACCCACAATGAGTTCTTAGTGTCTAAAATTATTTAATTTTAAATTAGCGCGATGAGTTGATCAGTTACTCATGATCAGTGAAGTTCGCACGATCGCATCTCCGATCCATGTTTCACTCGTCACAGGTTATGGTGCTGACTGGCTCTGGTGTGCCTTAGTCCCACGACTCTTGTCACTAGTTTACCAACGATCCTAGTCAAGGCCGCGTCCAAAGGTACAAGAAGCATTTTCAGCTCGGGGCATCTACGTAAGTGTCTCCTCCCTCCCGAAGAACCATCCGATGGATTTTCTCATTCTTGGGAGTCCAATTGGCATATCCTTCTCTGCTTTTTGACTTTTCCTGACGAAGGATTACCATAACCAGGAAAGGAAAAAGAAAACAAGGAAAATCCAAAAAAAACAAAAAAATAAAAAATACAAAATAAAAATTCAAAATTCAAACCAGCCCCTCCCTGAAGCTTCCACTCCCTTGGTTTTCTCTTGTATCATTCTTTTCTAATCTCCCTTTTCTCCAGTTGAGCTGAGGCCCAAACACTACTCTCTTCGCTCTTTTCTTTCGCTTATCTCTTCGAGACATTTTTCCACTGTTTTATTTTTATTTTTAGCCTTTTATCTCTCCCAAATCCTTATTCCAACTCGATTCGCATACCGACGGTTTGATCATCTCTCCTTTGATTGCGGCCAAAATCCGCAGCGAGTCTCTTATCGCATCTTCCCGACTGCCCGATCCCCTAAGTAAACACCAATTTTAGGGCGCTTCACGAACGAAGGCGGCATTGGAACAAGAAACTATACTCAGCCGCAATGGCGTTCTCCGATGTTGGCCTGAGGGGCCTCCATCACCTCGTCCGACGGGTGAGTTGCGACTGCTTAACGACCGATTTGAACGGCTCTGGGCTTGGGCACACCTAACAATATGCAGGATAGTGATAACCCAGCCGACACTCCGCCCACAGCATCGGCACTCGTTACCACCCTGGTACCGGCCTTAGTGTCAGCCGGAGTGATGGTTCTGATCTTTCTAATCCTTCGTCGCAGTCAGCGCCGGATGTATATGCCACGAACATACCTAGGAGTCTTGAAACCGTGGGAACGCACACCTCCCACCTCTACTACCCCATGGGGTTGGATCATTGACATGTACAAATTGCCCGATGAATATGTGCTGCAACACCATTCGATGGACGCTTACCTTCTCATTCGCTTCCTTAAATTGGTATCCATGATATGCTTCGTGGGCGCCTGCATAACGTTCCCTATCTTGTTTCCCATCAATGCAACCGGAGGTGGAACTAATGTGCAGTTGAATATTCTGAGCATGTCCAACGTTCAAGAAAGCAAGTACGAGCGTTACTTCGCCCACGCCTTTGTTGCATGGCTCTACCTCGGTAAGTTTTGGGTGAACTTTCCCAAGTACCCATGGTCATTTGGTCTGACATATCGCTCTTTTAAGGATTTGTCATGTATACCGTTACTCGTGAAAGTATCTTTTACATCAACTTGCGCCACGCCTACGCTCTGTCCCCAGCCTACGCCAGCCGGCTTTCGTCTCGGACCGTGCTGTTCACCGCTGTTACTGAAGACTATCTCAACCGTGACAAGATTCGCAAAATGTTCGGTACCGACAAAGTAAAGAATGTTTGGCTTACTACCGATACGTCCGAATTGGACGACAAAGTAAAAGAACGTGAGGATGCTGCCATGAAGCTCGAGGCTGCGGAAACGAAGCTCATCACTCTCGCGAACAAGGCACGTCTCAAGGCCATGAAGAAACAGGGCTATGTGGAAGACGGCCCCCCGACCCCAAGCGAAGAACCTAGTGATGAGTCGGGCTCAGTTGCGGCCCGCTGGGTGAAACCGTCGGAGAGGCCCACGCACAGACTCAAATTACTCATAGGAAAGAAGGTTGATACGATCAATTGGGCCCGATCCGAAATCGAGCGCCTAAATCCCGAGATCGAGGAGCTGCAGGCCAAGCACCGAGCGGGCGACGCAAAGTTGGTGTCGTCGGTTTTTGTCGAATTTTATCATCAGGCGGATGCTCAATCTGCCTATCAGTCTGGTACGTTTGTTTGCTGTGCTCCGTTTGATATCCGGCGTCACGGTGTCACGAGGTTGGTCTAACGTGCGATTACAGTGGCTCACAATCTTCCTCTTCACATGGCACCGCGCTACATCGGCCTGGAACCCACCCAGGTTATCTGGTCTAACCTTCGTATTCGGTGGTGGGAACGTGTTATTCGGTACTTCGCCACTATCGCCTTCGTTGTCGCTCTCATCGTCTTTTGGGCAATTCCCACGGCTGTGGTGGGTTCTATCTCGAACATCACGTTCTTGACCGAGAAGGTCCCTTTTCTTCGCTTTATCAACGATGTCCCAAGCTGGATCCGAGGTGTCATCACTGGCCTTCTCCCCACTATTATGCAGTCCGTGCTCATGGCTCTGTTGCCGATTATACTACGATGTAAGTTAATTCCACAAGGGTTCATTTCTGAATGGTCACTCATTCTTGTTCTAGTGATGGCCAAGCTTGGTGGTGCGCCGACAGCCGCGGCTGTTGAGCTGACTACGCAGAACTTCTACTTCACGTTCCAAGTCATCCAAACATTCTTGGTTGTCACTGTTGCGTCTTCCGCTTCTAGTGTGGTCTCGGATATTATCAACAAACCTACATCTGCTGCGTCGCTCCTAGCTGAGAAGATTCCACAAGCTTCCAACTTCTATATCTCTTATATCATCTTGCAGGGGTTGTCGTTCAGCGCTGGTGCGCTCCTTCAGATTTCCGGTCTAATCGTGGGCAAGGTTCTAGGCACTTTGTTGGACAATACTCCCCGTAAGATGTTCACGCGTTGGTCCTCCCTTTCTGGTCTAGGCTGGGGAACGGTATACCCTGCGTTCACCTTCCTGGTAGTCGTTGGTAAGTACTCTCTGTTCACGTTTCTGATATGGAATGCGGCTAATTGCGCCTGCTTGTGGATAGCCATCACCTACTCGTGTATCGCTCCCTTGGTTCTCGGGTTCGCGACCATTGGTCTGTACCTTTTCTACTTCGCTTACCGGTACAACATGCTGTATGTGTCCAATGCGGACATTGACACTCAGGGCAAAGCCTACACACGCGCCCTGCAGCACATCACCATTGGCTGCTACCTGCTTAATGTTTGTCTCATTGGTCTCTTCGCTATTGCAACCGGTGCTCGTCGAATTGCCCTCGGCCCTCTCATCCTCATGATCATTTCTCTTGTTGTCATGGTCATCTACCATGTTTCTCTGAACCAGGCGCTGGATCCTCTCATCAACTTTATCCCAAAGAATCTGGAATCGGAGGAGGAGGCCCTTCTTATTCAGGAGAAGGGTGAGCTTGCTCCATCTGCCGGCGAGCACTCAGATGACGCCGGCGCGAGTGGCCCTGGAAAGGAGGGTGTTGACAATGGCGTGACCAACGTTGATTCAGCTGAAAAGGGCTTAACCGGACCAGCTCCGGAGCCGAAGGCCAACTTCCTGACCAAATGGTTGCGCCCGGACAAGTACGATGGCTACACCCAGCTGCGGCGTTTTGTCCCCAACGCCTCGGCGATAACCACCTATGCCCCCGAAGTTGAACGCGACGCATATTTCCACCCTTCCATCACCTCCCAGCCTCCTCTCCTGTGGATTCCTCGTGATGAAATCGGCGTGAGTAAGCAGGAAATCAAGCATACCTCCCGGGTGATCACCATCACCGATGAGGATGCATGGTTGGACGAGAAGAACAAGATTCACTGGGACATGGACAAGGGTGTTCCGCCTATCTACGAAGAAAAGATCTACTACTAGTCACTCATTTGAACTCTGACCCATGTTCTGCCGAATCGGAACATGTCTTGGAAAGAATGTTTTCCTTTCTGTTTGATACCCACGTGGCCGATGCTGGTCTCCTTAGCAGCAACCCGGAGATATTATGGTCCTGACTGGTCTGTTAATACTTAATTTATATATGAGCTGCGATTACGATGGACGTTTTGACAGGATCTGTGATGTTGATAAGTTGATTGATGTCATGAATATGATCTGTGGTTCACTTGATTCCTAGCAGTGGCTTTCGCCGCTTAATCCAGTACCTAGTTACCTTGAGAAGTTGTAGAGCTTGAATAATAAAGTATCTCCAAACTTCTGAGATAAAGTGAACACTTACACAAATACGCTTAGGCCATGATCAATAGATTTTTATCTTAGTTATTCAGTGTCAGCTGAATGGTCTCGTGATATCTTTCTTTCTCCGGAGGAGAATCATGCCTCCACCACATAATCTACCTTCACTGTAAATCCATGCATTATTGCAACCAACTCCTGGTAGTAACCCGATCCAAATACAAAACCAAAATACCCCATACGGGGTACACAATCCCATGTCTAACAGCAATTAGACCAATATCATATCCCGATCAAAGGACGACAAGGTAATCCAAGCACACGGCTCCGTCCTCGGAGGCCGAATGAACCAAGCCATTCAGTTGGGTTGGATTGATTGGTGAGAGTACACAGATTTTACTTCATTGAGTGGGCTTACGATGGGTAGAATTTGTTCATGAATGAGACTAAGGAAACCTTGTCTGGTATGTATACGCAAAAGAGAGGCTTATATAACAGGGCTAGAGCAATCTCATATTTTTACTGTGCTCAATTTGAACTTGGATAGAGTCGGGAAAGAAACAACAAGGACAATGCATGAGCGGTGACGTGTGTCTTCGACACCACCTATATAAGATCATTCCTCCAGGGTATACGAATTAAGACTTTTGAGCCAGCTACCTGTGAGAACCAATGCCAGTCTCCTTCACTATAGTGCGTTATTAATCGATATAGAAGATTATTATAGAAAAGGGGGGGAAGATAAGACGAAAGGTCATGCCGCGCTCGCCTCCAATGCACTTGTTAATTGGTCCAAATGCTGCTTCATATCCTCACATAACTGTTCATGCCGACCATGGGCGTAGGGGAATTTCTCCCGACACAAGGCATCCATCAACCTGGACAGACACACCCCCGCGCGCTTCAGCTCCCTGAGGAAAATACCCTCACAGATAGCCTTTTGCTCGACGAAGTCGATCTCGAACACACCGAAGCGGATCAGACGCTCCGCATAGCCCATGGACTGATGTGCTTCAGACCGCAGGGTGAAGTCGCGGTATCCGAAGCTGAAGAGGGTGATAATTTTGCTCAGAGCAACTGTGAACAGCAGGTGGCCGTCGTACATCTGCTCGAAACCCGGGCTCTCAGTCAGCTGCAGGAGGATCGTCAGGTACTGCTGGTTGGCAGCTAGGACGGCGTCGAGCGTATGGTTCTCCTTTCTGCGCTGTCGGCCCATGAGGAGCGTCTGTTCGATGTTGTGCAGCAGCTGTAGGTACACTGTGTAGCTCGCTTCGGGACCCATATTTTCCAGAGCGCCGACCGGGTAAACCCCTTCGTCGGCTAGGTAATCCGGTGGAGTTGCCGGCTGCCGGATCGAAGTCGTGCAAGATCGGCTGGGGTCGCAGCTGCCGTTGGCGACGTTCGTCTCTATCTCCCAGTCGTGGCTGAGGCGACGGTCGAGACTCAGGGAGCCTCTGCTCGCTGACATTTCTAGTCCCGGTGTTGGGAGGCTGTTGGCGCTGAGGGGCTCCAGGTCGGAGGTCCAGCAGAAGTTACCGGGTTCTTGGAGGCCGAGGTCCATATTGGGACCCAGAGGACGGGATATATTTTGTGTTGAAGTGGGCACTGTGACTGCGAGGGAGAGGCCGCCCGGTGTACAGTTATCACCTGGGTAAAATGGCATGCTGCTCGAATAATTGTGCACCATCAACGGGGTGATTATGGGATCTACAGCGAAGTTGGACGGGACATAGCGCACCGAAGGAGTCACCCCTGAGACCTCTTCATCCTTGATAGCGTGTGAAAACGGCTGAAAGGATGGAATTGCCTCATTCGTAGACTCCAGGCGTGAGGGCGACGTGAGCGATGCGGATGATGGGGGAGCGGTAACGGCAGCAGCAGCGGCGGCTGCTGCTGCGGCACGGTTGGCTTTGCTTCGTTTCCCAGGCACCTTCCCGATCCTTGAGATCGAGAAGATACAGTCCAAGCCAAGATTAGCGCAGCGTTGACAGCCGGTTTTTTCTCCTGAGCAGCGGACCTACGGACGAGAGTTATATCTCATGTTTCTATACAGTTATACCTGGGCTTCCCCGCTTACTTTAGCGGAATGACACTCATTGCAGGCAGCACGAAGCTTGGGTGGCCTCTTGGAGACGGTACGGGCACTAGGAGGAGGTGTCAGCTTATTTGATAAGCAGAAACTGACTATGGGGAGGTACTCACGATGACATGGTTAAGGTGGCCCTCGTATAGCATGGACAGAGCACGAAGCGAAGGCAAGCTAGGGCCAATAATTTAGGCAGGAGGCACAGTGGTCGTGAGGTTGGAAGTGACGATAGGTGTACCAGAGCCGGAGGTATCTGAAGCTGCCTATGTATCTCTGTGATGTATAGGCGAGGCTGACACTCATCACCTTAGGCCTCAAGTCTTCCATAGACCGGTAGGGTCCCTGGGCCACGCAACTCCAATCCAAGGTCATTAGGGATGAGATAGACCAACGAGAGGAAGGCGTTAATCTATATGGAAAAAATGGAAAGACCAATACCGAGAGTCAGTCCATACCTTGGTGACCAAATGAGCCATACAACGATTTTGCAGCGGTAGATCCGCCTCCGCCATTGGATAAAAATAGCAGGGGCCACATAGTCCGTTGAGGAGTGACTACCTGGAAACGACGCATCTTATACTGGGTTTCAAATTGCACCAATCCGTCTCTGTGGTTCGCCTTGAGCTTGCGAGGGTCTATCTTTCGCTTGTGAACAGCCAAAACAAGAGAAAGTCTAGATTCAGGGTAATTGGTACCCAGGTAAGTATCTGCCTGGCCTTGATAGCTCACCTAATTAAAGGCTACCGGCTCGAGCTCAGTCTTCTGTCCGGGAACGTCGGCAGGAATCTCTGGCGTTTCACGATATGCTGTACAACCATCGCGGCTCCGTAAGTGGAGGATTGACAATGCAGCGTGACCTGCCAGCTTAGGCAGGGTGCAGGACAAAGGACTCGAGCGAAACAGAAGGATTCAATATCAACGTGACACGCTGCTGTCATCCCACCAGCATGGCTTCACTGGTTGAGCATCGCAGGCGAGCTGTCCAATGACAAATGGTCCACAACCCGGTCAAATGCACTGACCACGACCAGGATAGCCATTCTTTCTTACTAAATGGCTTGCGATCACGACCACTGCTCCTGCCATATCCAGCCACTATCGATCCTGTTCAGTGTGCATGCAGCCTCACCGGGAAACCACCTAGGCGCCTGCGACCCTCATAACGGTCTTTCTGACCGGTTTTGTATATCTTTGTCGTGTCGCGTCGTCGATAGAACTGTGTCATCAAGACATAGAGCTCGAGTCCAAAGCGCTGACTAGCCCTGGATAGTCTGGAGATAAGATCGTCACCTATGGCCCATTGTGCCCTTCCCATCCGTGATCCGATCTCGACGCATCCTCCGATAGATCCGGAGTAGCTCCCTGCACGTCGTACTCGGATGTCATTTCCACGTATGTGAGTCGTTGCTACGGGGCGCCGCCTGGGTGGCTGGGCTAGAAGGAGCCCGGGTCAGCCATGTATATCAGGGCGTACGCTCCCGACTCTGGGATAAACCATCTCGTGATGAGATAGATGGTGCCGTGATGCCGTGGTGTCGTGAGAGCATTACATATATAAGCAGTGTCAGTTTCGCCTATCAGGCTTTCACTGTCAGACACGAAACACACTCGCGCAGTTGCAAATCCCCACAAAAAGAATAAAATGACGTGTATCTCCAACCCACGATTACTTTATCAGTACCGACCCCCATCAGCACCCCCCATGAGCACAGAATGACTCTCACCCTAAGCACAATAAAAACCGTTACCTAGCCCTACACAGTGCAACCCAACCAACCCCTGGCTAACCGAAGCCCACCTTACAGTATACCTCACACATTAGAAGACAAGGGACCGTTACCTGGACAAGAGACCCTGAACAAGGCAAAACGGGGTACAACGAGATCAAGACCACCCGTTCCACGTTCAGGACCAATGCCGAAACCGACCATATCACTATACCCACAGGAGGCGATCCGACCCCAGCAAAGCCACGGTAATACGACGGCTGCAATTGGCCCAACGAGTGAATTCATTTTCTGCCGTGCAGCCGTGGATCCGGTTTTTTTTTTTTTTTTTTTTTTTTTTTTTTTTTTTTTTTTTTTTTTTTTTTTTTTTTTTTTTTTTTTTTGATTCAATTCTGGCACTGTAGTGAGTGGTTTTACCATGAGGAGTCAGAACTCAGAACTCAGGCCTTTCATGTAGTATACCTATCAAAGTTTCACGATATGTTCAGTTACGTAGCTAGAAAGTCTACTTCATAGACCCATTAAGAGAAAATGAGAAATCAAACTTTCCCCTCAAACATATCCAAAACTCAATCAATCTTTGAACGAATCAGGCATACTGTAGCAAAATAGCATTCCGCAAGCCATCCATCTCTCTTCCCTAACCCCAAAATTCAGACTCACCAACCCAAAGGGAAAAAAAAAAAAACCCTCACCAAATGACCAGCATCACAATAGCCTTGCAAAAAAATGAAAAAAATATCACAAGCCCCTTGAAATCGCTCTCCTCCCCAAAACCCCCTCCTCAACAATGACGGCCTTTGCATCATAACATACGATCTACCCGATGATCGCCTAGGTCACGGGCCTCCTGATTGGCTCACACCGCACCCAAATTAGGGTTTCCGTGGCCTGATCCCAGGTCACAGGACCGGGATCGCCACACCGGATGATCGCGTTCCTGGAGTCAACTTTCGTCACTGTGTGAGTTGGGGGAATAGGTGACGGATTGAGGGAAGGAGGGGGTTTGGGTTCATAAAATGGGGTTATTTCGAGGTTGGGGTTGGGTATTTTTGTTCTAATACATAACGATTTTTTTGAGCAGTTACAATTTACTTCTACATACGTCTGCTTCTATATCTACTACTATACTACCTACCATACGGTTACTGATTAAAGAATTATTCATTCGGTGGTCGAATAACTGCTACAATATATACATACATACATCCATATCAACGACTACAGCTACAACTACAACTAGAACTACAACTTACCCAAGTGGTAAAAGAAGGGAAAAAAGAAGCAAAATGAGCTTCACAAAAAACCTAACCCGAGCCCTAAACACCACCCCGCTACGACAACAACGCAGCACAACCACCCTATCCTATGCCACGCATGAGCCTCTCGAATACCAACTCAGCAGACTATCCTTATCGAAAATCAAACAAGAGTCTGCCCGGCCAGAGCCTGATCTGCGTCATGTCGTCGGGTATGCGTCGGTGAATCGCGCTGCGGGGGATAAGATGTATCAGAATCTGGTGCGGGGGGTGGAACTGCTACGTACGGAGAGGAGGGCGAAGTATGGTGTTGGGAGGAGTAAACTTTCTTCGTCCTCCTCTTCTAATGCTTCTTCCGGGGTGAGGGGAACTGGAGCTGGGACTGGGGCTAAGGATGGAGGATTGGGGGTTCTTTGGAGAGAACAGGAGGTGTTGGAGACGAGGTGTGTTGGGGAGGGCGAGTTGGAGGGCAGGGGACGGCGGAGGAGGAGGAGCTCGAAGAGGCTGAGGGAGGAGCGGGTTTAGTGGCTCTGAGGATAGGATTATGAGTTATGATGTTAATTTTGGTGTTTCTTTCAAATTGTGTGTTTTAAGGGGTTTTCTGTTTCTTGGGTTGGCGTTTGGCTGGATCGGGACGCGCTTTTTATGGTTTCGGGACGAATGATTTATGGTGAAAACATTAAGCTTTGCATTCGCATTGAGCGGTGCGTTGTATAAGTCTTTTTTGAAAGTTTGTCAATTCATTCGAGTTACGACAATATGAAACTTGGGATTCATCATTGGTGTATTAACGGAATTGTAATCGCAGATCTCTTCGTAAACATTACATTATGGAAAAACGACAGTGGATGCCTCTCAGTTCGGAATTGCACACATAGACGAGCGTCCCGACAAGGAGTCCACAGCTTCTTGGATCTCCAACCAGTTCTGAGTTCTCGGCCGCTGTCGCTTCCAATCAGTATCGGTAACTTCAACTCCGGTAGGACCTCCCATCGGCAGTAGAAGGATACGAGACTGTTTGATGCTGATCACCGTGGCTGAGTTCTCATCGTTCATGATTTCGTCCGGAGACTGGCCCGCAAATGTTTCCAAATGTTCCATGCACTTCACGGCCAGCCGGAACGCGCGAATGCGGTCGATGGGTGAGACTTTGCCGCCTTGCTGGAAGTGTCCTGGCACCACCCCCTGCGCATCAAAGCGATTCTTGGCCTCGTGTTTGATAATATTTGCAATCTCGGCTGTACTGTAGATGGTGGATGTCTGGTCATTGCGGATGATCAGCTTGCCCGAGCGATTGGCACCGTGATCCTTTGAGAACTGTTGGCGGAGGTACTCGATGTCATTGGAGAGGCTCTGGAGAGTTATTCCTCGATCAGGCGTATACACCGTCATTGCTCCCGCGGCCAGCGCCGCAGCTGTCGCCTGGTACTCGGCCCCTTGCGCTTCAACGACGAATACGCTGTGCCCGGAGGAGGACGCAGATTGCCGAACAACATCGCAGAAATAAACAAGGGTGTTAAGACTGGTGTCGCTGCCAAGGGAATATTCCGTGCCGGGGACATTATTTGACATGCTTGCTGGGAGAAGGACGAGCGGAATCCGGAAGGCAGGATATTGCTCACGCGCCTTGCGCAGCTGACTGACGGCTGTGAACGCTTCGAAGCCTCCAATAACGAAAAGTGCATCAAACTTATACCGCTCAAAGCATTGAGCTGTCGTTTCCATATCGTCTAATGGTAGTCCCGCATTGGTCCCAATGTCAGACCCACCGTCGTTAATCCAGTCACCAGATTCCAACCAATGCATTTCACGAACCGAGCCAGGGGTATCATCGTGGTGCCGACAGAGACCAGGGAAACCGTTGTGGATGGCGATCGGGGTGTGTCCCCTGGTTAAACAATAGGCGACTACTGCGCGTGTGGCTGGATTCATGCCTGCAGCTGGGGCGCCGACGTGAATGATAGCAACCCGCATGCGCTGTAACTTACATTAGGCTCAATTGGTACTTGATCAAGGTTATTCGGAGCATACCTTATCTTCGGGCAAGACCATCTTAGGATGATCACTCGTGTTCAGGTGTCGGTACGCGCCATGGTATTCCATGAATTCGGGATCCCGAAGTGTTGCTGCTTTCTCGAATTCTTTGGCATGCATACTGGCGTTAGCCTCCTTGGTTAAGGCAACAGTTTCAGCCAGAGATGATGTTTTGATTCTATTTTCCTGGATAATCACCACCGGAGAGGGCGAGTCAGGAGTCATAGACAGCACCGCTTTGACGGCGTGGATGCCCTGTAACGTTGACAGCCAGCGGTCGTATGCGCATGGGGATCCGCCTCGTTGGATATGACCCAGAACAGTGACGCGGGTATCGAGTCCTAAACGCTTGCTCAGAACATCTTTCACGGCAGACGACGAAATGCGATCCAAGTTGCTGTCCTGGGCTCCTTCTGCCAGAATAACGATAGTGCGACGCTTGCCACGGTTGCGGTTCTAGCATCGGTGCATTGTTAGTACGGCGGCCTGTCTAAGTATGTGTAATAGGAGAAAGAGTAAGTATGACAGTACCTTGGTGATGATTGAGCACATATCATCCTCCCAGCCATCGCGCGGAGGCCTCTCCGGGATAAACAGCCAATCCGCCCCAGTTGCGATCGCAGCCATCAATGCTAACCAGCCACAGTGTCGACCCATGACTTCGACGACAAACCCTCGGCGATGAGAGGAAGCCGTATCAAAAACTGCATCGACTGACTCGCAGATCCGTGTTAACGCAGAATAGCATCCGATGGTGGCATCCGTGCCGGAAAAGTCATTGTCGATAGAGCCGAGAAGTCCAACAATGTTCAAATTCTGATGGGGTGCGACTTGCGCCACGGTCAAAACACCAGTTGACACCAGCTCATTGAGCAGCTCTGGCCATTCGGATCGAAAGAGGTCTGCCCCGGTCAAGCTTCCGTCTCCCCCACAGACAACTAGGGCGTCGATACCGAAAAGCACCATATTTCTTGCGGCCTGTAGACGACCTTCTCGTTCACGGAAACGGTCACAGCGTACGGACCCAATGAGTGTCCCTCCACGCGATAGAAAGCCTCGAACGTCTTCCCAATATAGGGGATGCATCATTGCACCGCCCTGGATGAGTCCCTCGTAGCCTTCGTGAATTGCCCATGCTTCGCAGCCGTTCTGGATTGCCGTGCGGACGACTGCACGAATAGCTCCATTCATTCCCGGAGCATCTCCTCCGGATGTCAGGATACCAATGCGACGGGGTTTGCGTCTTGAAGAGTAACTATCTAATATGGTGTTGGTCATGGTGTGAATCTAGTCCAAAAGTCAAATGAAATGGTAGGTGTTAGTGATGTCGGTACTAGTACGATGATGTTGTGGTAAATTGGACAACAGATCCTTGAAGACAGCAGGATAATTCATTTTATCTGGAGTGGAAAAGCAGGGTGAGACATTGAATGCTCCGCATACTATACCATGTCCCGTGATGGGCTGATGGCAGTGGGATTCCCTTTTGTTTTCACAGGCCGATATGGTCCGATGTGGTGGTACTCGGGCAATCGCAGACGTGTGACAAGGGGATGAATGAAAGATGCCTAAGCTAATCATCGTCATGTTTTATTGATAGTGAATCACCCAAGTGTCCGCATTCACCGAATACTAGTAGTAAGTGGGGATCACAACGCAATTTGCCACACTAAATCAAGAAAAAGGAAAACAACATGACAGGGGATCAGGAACGGCGTGGCTCCGTAGAAGATGATCATTAGTGTAGCTGCGGACGGGCACCTCCGAACCATTCCGGAACCCCATTTGCCTTACCCTTTGGGCATACAAACCCATGGTATTTGTCGGGACCGCTCGATCCGGGCATTGACCCTGTGTCGTATTAAGATATACTGTGTGCGACGAAAGTACAGAAGCTGGCGCTATAATACGGGCAAGTAAGGGAACCCAAGAACGCTAAAATCTTGGACGGATTCTACACTGATAATGACAGTAATCACTTATGGGGCATGAACTATGGCCCGTTGATATCAATCAGTGCTCCACAATGAACCCACACAACATGCGACTCTAATCTAAGCTCGCCGTGTCATGGGGTATCGGGATGCCGATGGATTCCTGTGTCCCGAAATGAAGACAACGTGACCAACAGCATGATGCCATGGACGTGGGAATTGAGCCCAAAACTATTCAATGACTGATATACCAATAGACTGGATCAGATTTATCACTAAACTTTATGATTCGAGAGACATATCCCCAAAACGCCGCAATGCCCTCTAAATATACATGGACGAACTAGAATGGCGTGAAACCGAAAACCCCCTGTATGGCGTCTACTTTTCAATCCGGAACTCAAACGACCGGTCGCGAGCCTCGGTAGAGACTGGCCGAGCATCATCGTCGTACAATGTACGTTCAAAGAACCGGACTCGCCCATCGAACCCCACCAAGATAACCGTCTGCTTCTGTGTCGCATACAACCCTTCTAGATATGCACGATTGGGTGTCCCCTCGGGAGTGGACGGTAGCACTGGACTCTCCTCCCTCTTATCCTGCTTAGCTGGCAGTTCTGCTTCATCCCGCGCCTGTGTATCACGGCCGATAGGTGGAATGAAAACGCTCCGCGGAAGGTGTGGGATGTATTCCTGAACTCCAGCATCGTTGCTCAATCGAGGTAGCGTATCCACACTAAGCACGCCCAATAGCCTCTCGATCAAGTCGTCCTCGCTCTCCTGATGCTGAACATGCCCCGCAATCGCATCAACAAGCGCGTCTTCCCCCTTCTCAACTTTAGGCCAAGACCGATCCTCGTAGTCCGTATTGCTCAGCCCGACCGTTTGGCCCGGTTTGTCCGCGACCCAGAGAATCGGTTCCGTCTCCGACGCTCGGCTGGCCAAAATCGCCAGCGGCTCCATAACATTTCCACACACAAGGTTAAATCCGCCGATATTGGTTAACTCCCCGTTGGTGGTCCATTGGTTCACGAACTCTTGGGTGGTTTGCGCGCTATCCGGCGACGATGTGAGCCAGCTGTTGACGACTTCGCCGCGACTGTATTTCCCGACGGCTTTTGCGCAGGTGTCTTCATGGTAGTTCGTTAGCACAGCGATGCGGCCCTGCTTTGTGATACCCAGCCAGGTGGGGTGGATGGGGCGCACAAGATCTCGGGCGCTGAGGACGTGGGAATGAGGGGATGGCCACCAGTCTGCTCGGGAGGTTGGTCGGTGGAGGAATTCCTGTGATGCGGTCAATATTTGATATTGCAATGGTCTATGAAGCGTGTAGAATACGTACATCTCGGTTGTTGCAAATGATGAGGCGATATTGGGGATGAGCGGTGGAAAAAAAGGCGATACACATGGTGAAGGATATGTAGTTGTAGGTTGATATTCAGTGTGGAGCGGCTGTATTATCCAGCATTGTAGCTGATAATGGCTTACATTTATCTATAAAGTGAATCAGACGTGACGGAAGACCTCGTACGACCGCACGGGAAAGCACGGGTGTCCCGACCGGTGAGGCGAGAGTCAGGCGATTGGACACATGGCGAAGCCAACCAGTATTCGGTTCCAGCAGAATGTCTCCAGGCTTTGGCTGACCACAGTTGGCCGCACAGGGAAGCCAAGGGAAATCTGTCATAACTACTCGGGAGATTCAGTCAGCGAATCTGACGGTGATATCATCATCATGATTACCTTATGCTAACATAAGAGGCAACGGAAGTCACATGCCTTCTCCCCGCATTTACTATTTTTATAAGGTGGATCATTGCTCCGCAGTCCTCCATGCATGCAGTGTGGTTCTAGACTCTTGGGAAGTAGAGCGTCTCACACGAGTATATTTGTAACGTACGATTATATTGCAGGGTGTTAAGAAATTGCTCATTGACTCGCTGAGCAATCCATGTTCGTCGACGGAGGTCATCAGTTGTCTGGAGTTAGAGCCGATGGAATGTACAAATCGCTGACCCTGATCTATAGCAACCTAGTATATATCTATAGCGTACACTGCTCTATACATCAAACGTGAATAGTGGTTACAATTATGAAGAAAAGTAAAGGGGCGAAAGGTCCACTACACACTTCAGCCTCTGCCAACTGACAACTAATACCGTGATCAGTTAGTGATAAGTGAGCAATTCTACCCCCGGATCTTCATATGAACAGCAGCGAAGCCTTTCTGCACTGCCGGTCGCTGGTACACCCGATCGTACCATATTGTCAGCTCCGGGAATCTCTCCAGGTCAAGGCCAGCTGAGCCTGCGGCAGCCACGTAGGGAAGGTGGAGGAGATCGGCAAGGGTGCTGCACATCGTTAGCTTTATATAGACTCAATATGAAGGGACTATATAAAGAAATAGCGCACCATTTCTTGCCCACCAGGTAGTTACTGTGCGACTTCTGCAGATGCTGCTCAAGGTGAAGATACAGGCTAATAGCCTTTCTGGCAAAGGGGATGCCGTCATCCTTTGCATCGAGGTCGAAGCGGTGCTCTTCCGGATGGGCTGCATTGGGCTCAGTTAAAGATGCGACTAATATATTGACCTCCTCATCCTCCTTAGAGCCCTTCTTATAGGAAACTTCGTGCGCTGTGTCATAGCGCGCAATCAGGTATGACACAACATCGTGGAACCCGGAAAGATCGACGGACTCGCCATCGCTTTGGATGTTCCTGAGCACCGGGAGGCTTTTCGCATCAATCTCTTCTGGTTTTCCGACCAGGTGAAGGCGGTAGGGGAGTCTGAAACAGAGGCAATTAGCCAGGATTTATAGGGAGTGTTATGGTTCAGGGGACCCACTTGAGTTCCTCGAGGATGACGGCAACAATCGCTCCCTCTCTTTTGCCTTCGGAGGCGAAAAGAGAGATCATTCCGCGTTGTTCTTGGAAGACGTTCATTGCGACAGTCGTGATGTGATTGAGATTGAGTGCGAAGAATTCTTGGAAATATGTCTTAATGGAAAGAAAAAAAATTTAAGCAAAAAGTTTCTGGCGAGGGGTATTTGCTGAGTTTAGTTGTTTAGGAGCCTAAAAAGAAAAGAAACCCCTCATTTCTCGTGAGCTGCGCACGTGGGCAAAAGCACACCGCTAACAGACCAAACTTAATTTCTTTTGACTCTTCTTTCTTCGACCACTTCTAACTGATAATTAGGATCTTCGCTGATAGCGACGATTTATGACGCCATGCACGGGACGAAGGATCATGCCCCTCCCAAACAAGCATTTGGTCAATTGTCAATTCCGAGCCTATCGATAGCTTGTCGCTCTTTCACTTTCGGCCAATGTGTGTTGACATCATGATACTCTCAGACGGTTACTCGAGACCTCTTTGCGGTACCCTGAACGGGTTCATGATGTGGTGTACGATCACCAAGTTATTCGACAGAAGTGCTGCAACGTGTTCAGCTGCCTTCGTGGTCTGTTCTCCACAAAGTGTCAAGGAACACAGACCATCAAACTGGGCGATCTGCAGCCAATGGATGGGCTAGCCGAGATGATAATGTTTTTCCGCTGCAAAGATGATCGCCCGTTGATCTGGCCATCAATCTAGAATATACAATCGCTCGCGCTAGAAAAGAATCTTCAACAAGGGTCATCTTGCCACCCTTATCAGCGACAGCACTAATGGACATAGTGGATGGTTGCAATGCAGCGTTTCACTACTAGTCCCCCACAGAATAGCGTACTTTTTTATCTGTTCCCTTATTACATATTATTATCATGTCGCTCATTCGTCCTACCTACTTTTGAAGAATAATCATAGCTCCGCTAGGATCACTAGCACATTGTTGTGATAGAGTGGGGTTACAGTAATGGCCAGGGAGGAAAATATATCGGAGAATTAGAAGTTTGCATAACAACACCGCAAAACAACCTGCCATTCTCCTTACTGAAGCAAGTCCCAACCACTCAGCAATCAATCTTGTACGAGGCTTCAATGCCACGAATTAAATTGTGACTTAGGGCTAACGGGGACGAAAAGAGGCTTAAGCACAGAAACCCTGCTAACGCCGAGTCGGAGCCGAGGGCAAAGTTTCGCGGTCCAGACAGCGTCGCATGAGGTCATTTTCTACAAGGATCGCACGAAAAGAAAAAAAAAAAAGTCCCTAATGTCGGAGATCAATCCTGGTATTGACCTGTCTAATTCATATGGCACAATCCTTTGCATCCTGGATACCCGCGGCGTCCATTCCGAAATGACTCGGGTTTATTTAAAGCTGTTGAACCCTCTCCTTATGGTTCGGTACCCCCAACTATCCGCCGGTCCAACCAACGCAAAATGCCCGCAACTTCTGCACACCCGTGGAAACTCCAGTCCCAAGATCTTCCCTATGCATGGGATAATTTAATTGGCGTAGATGCCGATGTGGCGCCGATGTCTGCGTTTGATACGATTATTGAGCCACTGCCCGCCAACCCTCATCGACGAGTAAGTACCCTGTGGGGAAAGACGCCTCGTCACCTAGTCAGTCCATGATCTAATGATTATGCAGCCGAATTCTCAAGATATTCTCGATTCTCCCTGCTACTTGTCACAATGGTCTCCATCTTCTGCAGGCCTTCTCCCGTGGGAAGCGTACGAGAATTGGGCATCTCCGAAGCATTCATTTGCGGCGCCCAACCAGTTTGAGGACGTGCCCGTGCTACCGCCACTCAAGCAAGATTCAATACAGAACACGTCGAAAATCTCCTCTAGAACCCGCACATCGCCCCCGCAATCTCATTGCTCAGCCTCGAGCTCAACCGTGGCCTCGTTATCGCCGCCCCCATCTTCCCCATCTGGCTCGCCCAGTTCTACTCCTCACGAAGGCCCAGCGCACCCCTCATCACGGCGCTCAGCACATAACCGAATTGAGAAACGCTACCGGGAGAACCTCAGTAAGAATTTTGCTGCACTTGAGTCGTCACTGCAAGGCTATTACACGCGAGGGGCTGGAAGTGGCAGGCCCCGCTTCTACTGTCAAAGGAAGCACGCTTCTAAGAAGATGGCAGTTCTGACCGATGCCGTTAATTATATTGGGGAGTTAGAGGCGGAGACAGTCATGTTGAAAAAGAAGCTGGAGACATTGCGGCAAGCGCTGCTACCGAATGGAATATGGAAATACACCCTGAACGATGACTAAAACCTCGCTGTTGAGAGTTTCCGATCCCACAGGGGAATCATTTTCTATTGACACACTCGTGCCTCGGCAAGTGTGGCTTTGTACATATCATGTAGTGTATTAATGTGATCAATCCTGGATCATGATGAGTACTGCCTAATTCAAACGGATACAGTTCCCGATGCTCCGCTCTCCGGATGCCTCCTGGCAATACTAAGACCACATGATGCTTAGCAGGTGAGATATAGATCAAAGTGATCGGTTGGTTCCGTGAAGAAAGGAAATTGCATGTCTAGACCCATCCATTTTTGCCCCCCGGGCGCTATAAGCTTATGCCGGGGACTGCCAATCAGAGAGGTTTTCGGGGGATCCATGGAACGCCAATTTCTTCACGTTGGATATGACACTTGAGGGGTGGCAATGTGAACTTTTCATTGGCTCTGCTTGCCGGCATCGTTTAACCGACCGCCCGAATTAACAGAGCTTTCGGCCGGACGCGGAGAACATCCCAATCTGGAATGGGGAAAGATGGAACGGGCAAAAAAAAAAAAAATTTAAAAAATTAAAAAGAAAAAAAAAAAATTAAATTAAATTGACACTAAACCATTGACCAGTGCAACGATGTGCATACTACGAAACATCATGAATCGAACTGCAGGGCAAATATCTGCCCCTGTGTGACCTCTCCAACCGATTTATCGTCGCTCTGACCCTCTTTTCCTACCACTTTCCGACGACAGTGTGCCTGTCGGCCTCCCCGAGCGAAAAACGAAGCACAAGGGGTTCTCCACAATGCCGCGCGATATCCTCGTCGTCGGTGCGGGTATTGCTGGTCTCGCCAGTGCGATTGCCCTTTCCAACGAGCTCGCCCCCGTCGTTCCCGGATTGAAAATCACGGTGTATGATGGCGCACGGGAGCTCACGACGTCAGGCGGCGCCATCAGTTTGACACCGGTCGCTCAGAGGTATCTCGATGAGTTAGGGGTCTTATCCGAGTTGAACCAGATGGGTGATCACGCTGGGATTGAAGTGGACGCCATTGATTTGTTTTCTGTGCGTGTTGGCCGCCGTTTGGGGCCCCTCCGATTTACCGATGAGAACGGACATGGTTACGGTGGCTATAAGGGTCGTCGGGTATTGCGCAGCGCTTTGTCGGAAGCCATGTTGACAGTGGCTCGCAGGCTGCCAAATGTCTCGGTTCACTACGATAAAAAGCTAGTCAGAGGAAACACAACGGCGGAGAATGTCACATTGCAGTTCGAAGATGGTTCAACCGCCACGGGGGACTTGGTCTTGGGAGGCGATGGAGTTCACTCGGCGACACGAACAAAAATCGTAGATCCCGGCAACAGATCCGAGTATACCGGTATCTCTTTCATACAAAGCATGGCCGACGCCCAGAACTTTACCGCAACGATGCCCTTTACTCAAACCGCGGTACATCTCGCCCGGCATAGCTCGCTCCTAACGAGCTACTGCGACCCAAAACACGAGAAGCTCTTTGTGGCGGCTATCGTTCGCGTGAGCGAACACCTGATCGAGAAATACCAGGCGATGTCGGGAACGGACCTGGCGGCACAGAAGAACATGAGGATGTCAATGCGCTACCTGGTCCGGGCGCAGTTCGGCATGTCAAGTCTACCGTACATCCGCGAGATCATTGATCGCACCGAGGATTGGATGTTATACCCTGTATACCAGGTTCGTCAACGAGGAAAATGGCACACAGATCGGATACTGTTACTCGGCGATGCCGCGCACGCAGTAAGTTCCATCGTCACCAACGGCATCGGGTTCGTAACAAGACTAATACAAATACCTACAGATGCCTCCGCGCGATGAATCGGCTGCGTATGCGGTAGAGGATGCGATCATATTTTCCAAACTCTTGGCGCAGAATCCCGACTGTCAGCTAATCACATTGTTTGAAGAATACGAAGAGCTTCGACGAGGACTAGTCAACAAGGCATTTGATGCGTCACGCAGGCTGTGGCAAAGTGACCTTGACAAGGGCCTCTTTCCTGGCCAAACTCGCGATCTGATGTCTCCTGTCCATCTTCCACCCGACAGCCATATTGGAAGGCGTGCCACACAGCCGATCAACAAGACTACACTACCCGCTCCGACCCACGAGAGCTTCTCAGATCTGTCCGTGTACTCGTTAACCAGCGATCTTGGGCGAACTGTCGACGCGACGAATGTTGATTAACGCCGATCACCAAAATGGAAGCTTGGCTGCCATAGGTGTACGTCTACTTCGCTGCACCTACATATGCGTGGCCACAAACGGCCCGCTTATAGTTGATTTACGGCATTATATTCAAGAGATTCGTCACAGTGGTCTAGTGGCCATGCTCCTGGTAACGTCTATCCGCTCTTTCCAAACACCTACCGCGTTGCCTCGCCTTATTGACACGCTTTCTTTATCTTTCCATCCTTTCCCAGCCAACTTTTAATAGTTCTGTGCCCACCTTTTCTTATTCGCCATAGAGATTCCCATTTCACCATACGTGTTTTATTTAGATGATACTATGTCGCTTCGTTGGCTGCTTTTAATCATTGCTTTCCGGTTCCACCCTAGGATCGTTTTATGGTACACTGTTTAATACAACTCATACATCCAGGCTGGTAATGCTGGTGGTTATCTTCCTTTATGTGCTAAAGCGCAGCAATATCCTGCGGTTTGAAAGACAAGACGCATTCTATCTCCTAAAATTCACTATTCTCATGGCCCTTCCCTGTTGAACCTCTCTTTGATACCTTGTGTCATGCCCCTATCCTGGTCCGTGAGTCAATTCTAGAGGTGAGATGATGCGAGAAAATGGAGAGGTTAAGGAGATCGTAGAGGAGTCGACCCCAATGGATGATGGTGTGTCCGAGATGTGGTTACACTATGGAGGAGTTCGATAAAAACATCAATGATACAGGGGATGAACGACGTAGTCGAAGGTAAGAGGTAGAAGGGGATTTATGCCTCCGAGGCTGTAGATGTTTAGAGAGGGCACGGATGGGGGAAGAGATGAGAGAAAGATATGGAAGGTAGAGGTGAGATAGTATCTATATATCACCTATGCCTTAGCCTTAGTTCTCATCCTACTTTTTCCTGATCGTCCTCCCTGATCACCATTATCTCTATCCTGATCATCATTATCCTCTTCCACTCAGGCTTTGGATCATACATACTCTTATCCATATACTCCACCAGTTCTACATACTTCTCGGTGTCTCTCACATATCTTTCATTCGTGTATTTCTACATCCTATCATCTCATCATCTCCCATCTGTTTGTTGCTTTCTACTTTTAAGCCCCTTCAACACCTTACTCAGTACAACTATCTCCCACTATCCAACAACCAACAAAGCACCTCAATCCTCAGCCATGCCTACAACCATGGACTCCTCCCAGGAGCCCGAACAACTTGACATAGCAGCCTCTCTCTCCGAAAGCGCCGAAACTCGCCGAGAGCAGGCGGGCGCGAAGGCTGCCTTTGCTAGGAGCGTACTAGCGCTCCAAAACAACGCCTCACCGTCGAAACCCACCCACATGCCTGAAACTACCAAAGCTCCTGAGAGCGGAGAGGCGGGAACAGCGCTCAATGCGACTGATAAAAGCCCAGGATGTCAAGATAATTCTCAGGCATACCATACGTCCACTGCAGATGTTCCCGATATTTCAGATTATGAGCTGAATGATGACCTCAACGCCCCTATGGATATTGCACAGGCTCTTTCAGGAATTATAGGGAATAGTGCGTCTGACTCCCAGCTTCCGCATAATGAAATACCAGTTACTTCAACGTCGTCGGTGCAGGTTGAAGATGCTAAGCCCGGTCCCTCCACTTGCCCAGCTGATCCAGAAACCTTGGAGTGGCCGGACGAGATGTCGGACTCCATGGATAACGACACGTCAGAGTAAGACGCCCATATCTTTTCAAGGTAGTATGATGACTGACTGTTTTAGGTTCGATGCAATTAAGTTCTGGTTTAAAGACCTGGCGAATCCGACTATAGAAGACATAGTGAAATACGAAGCGGCCAAGTTGCAGGAAAAGGCAAGGGAAACGAGGGTATCAAACAGTGAAGCCCTTCGATTACAGGACGACGAGTATGACGAGTTTATAAGGGAAGAGGAAGAGTCCGCCTTATTTGTTACTCCTGAGCCCGCCCAAGAAAGTTCATCTCGTGAGCAGCTACCCGAACAAAATGAGACTACGCTCGCAACAGAGCCCGCAAAACAACTAAAGCAAACAAAGAGAAGGAACAGACAGAACAAGATATCTGCTGAAGAGAAACGAAGGAGCATGCAGTTCGGGCTTGACGTTATTCTTGGTAAAGTAGACAAGAAAAAGTCAGGAAAGAAGCGCAATGCTAGCGGAAGCGGGCCATCTGGTCCAGCCAAACGCCCTAGAAAAGGCAAAGAGCCCGAATTCGACTTGGAATCTCTCCTGAAATCCAACATCATCGAGGATGCACATGCCAGTTCGGCGCTACCTGCGGCCCCGGCCTTTACTGAGAAAAACAAAGAGAAAGCACTCCTCCAGTTAATCGCTGGAATCCCAACTAAGGAGCAAGAACAGGCGAAAGACGATAAGCGAAAGATTTTGAAGGCGACCAAGAAGTTTAACAACAGTGCAAGAAGCGATGGAAAGGGTGGCTGGAAATTAAAGGGCATGAAGACAAGCCTCTACAATTACCAGGTCTTAGGTGCTAGCTTCATGCGTGATCGAGAGAATTCATCCCAGCCGCCATATGGAGGTCTCTTATGTGATACCATGGGTTTCGGGAAAACGATCCAGACACTTGGTGAGCATGCTTCCAATGTCATCGCTATTACACTCCGCGGTGGCTAATGTATACGTAGCCAATATTGTCGATGGGAGACCGCCTGACCCGACTGACCCTGTGAGAACGACATTGATTGTTGTGCCATCGCAGCTTGTCTCACACTGGTAAGCCTAAAGAACCTCGCATCTCACATTTCGCCAAACTAAACATTACAGGATGACGCAACTGCAAAAACATTGCGAAATAGATGCAATAGGCGAAGTTCTTGTGTATCGTGCAAACGCGAGATACTTGACACTTGACGTTCCCAAGAGTATCCAGAAGCACAACATTGTGTACGTTAAATACCTTACACAAGTGATACAATATACTCATATCAGTCAACAGGATAACTACATACGATGAAGTTCGGAGATCTTACCCCCAATGCAATATCCCAAGTCAGATTGCCGACAAAGATAAACTTATTGAGTGGTGGACGGAGACCTATAAAAATGACGTGGGCCCTCTACATCAAATCAAATTCAGGAGGATTATCTTAGACGGTATATATACTTCCACACTTATCTGGATCTGCACTAGGCTAATATAGCTCTCAGAAGCTCACATCATAAAAAATCATCTTTCACAGATATCTATCGCTGTCCGTGCTCTCACGGGCCATCACAAATGGGTCCTCAGTGGAACGCCTGTGCATAATCGTGTAGAGGAATTCTATCCGCTCTTTGATTTTCTCGGTGTTCCTCGCACCGGAACTTATGAGAATTTCTGGAAATCATACTGCAGGGTGAGTATATAATATTTGGTTTATATTAAATAGATTTCTAACCGTTTAATGCAGGATGGGGAAGCCAACAAATGCTTGGTTAATCTCCTCCGATCGTTCATGTTTCGTCGAACGCATTCCAGTCGGCTTTTCTCGTTGCCTATCATCAAGCTGCCTGATATTGACGAAAAGGTCGTACAAGCAGAATTCTGTGAGGCCGAGAGGATAATGTACGATGCTATCATCGATGCATTTTTCGAGATAATCAATGGTTCGTGAAAGTTACTTCGCCGGCGTCAATTCGTATAAATTACTAACGATGAATATAGGCTACGCCCATGTGGAAAATCCTAGATTGAAGCAATACCGATGCTTCCTGACGATGATTTTAAAGCTGCGCATGGTTTCCAGCCATATACTTACTGCGCAAGACATAATAAAAAAGCTTCTTTGCAAAGGATTGATTCGTGAGTTTATCGACATCTTGAAAGTGGAGAGAAGCCCCGAAAGTCCATCCTCCAATATCATACAATGGATCAGAGCAATGAGAAAAGAGATCGAATTACCCGCAACTCCACAGACTCAAGGCTTCACGGGCCCTTGTGTAGAGGAGCTCCGTGGCGACAAGGAAGAGCTGACCAAACAGTTCAAAGCTTTCATGACGACACTTCATGAGAATGAGCAGTGGATAGAGAGGTTTGAAAGGGGAAGCTGCGCTTCCTGTGGATTCATGCCAACGAATCCGGTGATTACATCCTGTATGCATCTGTATTGTGAGGAATGTTATTATCTTCTTTTAAAGGAAGGTGAAACACGGATCTGCTCAAGTTGCAATACAGGCATTCGAGCAGCTGCGACGTGCCCTATCTCGGAAGATGGAGAAATAGGGGAGTCATCTTCTGCTCTCATAGTCGAAGAGACGAGGAAGCAGAAGAAATCACCTAAGAAGAGCAAGAAAAAGACACGAGGGAATTTTGCGGGTGGCTTTTCGGCGGTTGTCACACACGGCAGAGATCAACCCGAGGATGAAGTAGATGAAGACGAAGAGGTAGATTGGATTTCTGGGTGTGGTGGCGAAATGACCAGTGCCAAAATAGCGAAGATACAAGAGATCGTCAAGGGTTGGATTGACGAGAACCCGGACGTGAAAATTGTCATATTTACTCAGTTTGTTGATTTCCTTCGGCTGCTCGGGTTTATGTGCCAGAAACAGAGATGGGGGGTCACTTGCGTAAGTTCTACTCCTTTCATAGCTTACCATAGATCCAGGGAGGGGGCGCTACTAATCGCACGCAGTTGTACGGGAAAATGAGCTTACCGGCTCGTGAGCAGAGCATGGAAAAATTCAAAGATGAAAGAGAGGTACGGATCTTGATTGCCAGTCTCATGGCTGGGGGAATTGGACTCGACATGTCCATGGCGAACAAGTGTATCCTCGTGGATCTGTGGTGGAATGAAGCTATTCAAGAACAGGTACTCCCCACACGTTCGGTTTCATTCATCTGTACAGTACAATCTTGGGTAAGTCTGATCTAACCGTTGCTCTAAGGCCTTTTGTCGCCTCTACCGAATCGGTCAGTCTAAGAATGTGGAATTTGTCAAGATCACCATCAAAGACTCAATTGATGAGTATCTGTTGAAAATGCAAACTCGCAAAACGGCCAATCTTTCCGGTACTATGGGGGATGATGTTTTGAAGGATCGAGATTCGATCATCGATCTCATGAAGATGTTTTGGGGAACAGTCATCGAAGAGCCAACAGGTGGACTTTCCATTCAACGCAACCATTAACGCAAACCTAGTGGCATACTCTGCAGGTGAATGTTTCTTTTCCGCATTGACGTGAACTTGGCTATCATTTTCGTCCAAGCTCTATTAGTTCTGATATTATTGCTTTTTGGCTTTTTGATGGCTGGTTTTCTATTCCTAGTTCTGATCATGGTTGACAATTGGTTTTGATACTGCTATTTACTGCTTGAATTGGAAGTTTGATGCCATCATTTTAATATCATATGATCTGAATTAGCTTTGAATACACTTGGCCTTACTTCATTGGCTATCATTTGATTCATTGTGAGGCTATCTTTGACTAGTAGCCATTAATGAGTGAAGGGTGTAGCGCATAATGAACGTATTAGCAGCGGAGATAGACTACATCGTAAATACAGTATGACGGTCGATATCCATCCGACATGAGTATGTTCCTCGGAACTTTTCATTCCCCGTCAGTAAATCAATCTGAGACACAGGCCATTTGAAGAGAAGAAACAATCCACACAACACCAGCACTAAAAGTACAGTACATAAAATCCGCAAAGACAAGACGAAAGAGACGGCAAGGTTGGAACAAGGGGTTTGTACAAGTCTGAAGGAAACAAAGCATCTCATACATCAACAATCACTCAAAGTGCACAACAGGTCTAGGTCCCAAGCAACGACGCCGACCCGCAATCCTATTGCCCTGGACCATCGCTGGAGAAGGGATCCTCAAAGGCAAAGGAAAAGCAAGAGGAAGCAATGAAGCCTCTCCAGCACCCAACGAATGAAACGACACCCTCACATCCTCCATCTCAACCTCCCTACTACCCTCTCCACCTTCAGCCAAAAACTCTTCAACATCAGTATCCGCCTCGTCCGTATCCGCACCCCCATCAACCCCCTGATATCCGGAACTAACCACATGCGAGAACCGATTAGTAGAGTGACGAGTCCACATCTGCGAATTAACCCCCATTCGCTGGGTCTGCTCCTGCTGCTCGTAGTCATCGTCGTCGAGGATGTTCTCCTTGTCTTCATCGGCGGAGGAGTAGGTAGTAAAGCTGGACAAGAGACCGGGATGGTTCTCCAGATGCGAGTCATCCGGGTCCTCGTAGATATGGAATAGATGTGAGGGACGAGCGATGTAGGAGTGAGACGGGCTGGTGATTATGCTGTGGCTGTTTGAGTTGGTGTGGACGTCGGCGTCCGTGTCGGTGTCCAGGTCCATTGTTTCTTCGTTGATAGCTGCGGTCGAGGTATTGGTTGAGCTGTGAGTTTCTAGGTCTGTGTCGTCGGCGTCTGAGATTATTTCATGGTCGTGATGAGTGGTGATGCGTTTGATCGCGATGTCGAGATAGGTGCGATCATGGTCATCCTCGAGGTCTGACTTTGCCTGGTTTGCAACCTTGGGCTTCTTGCATTGCCGTGCGTAGTGGAGCGGCTCTTGGGTGATATTTTCGTCAATATCAGAGGTAGACTCTAGTTCCCCGTGCTTACGGATTTTGCGATTGGGGGTTGTCACAGTTCGGACGCTGTCGTGCTTGACTGAGTCTGGGGTGGACTGAGTGGATAGTCGCTTTGACTCGCGACGAGAGGTGGCTACCTGATTCTACCCCCGGGTTATTTTCGATTGACAAAGATAGAGGTTTCTCTGGCTCCGGGATTGCGTATGATCTGTATCGAGTATGAAACCGAGGAAGAGGAATTACTCACATATTGGTCGATGTCCAAGCAAAGCTCGAAGTCGACCTCGTCCATCATATCGCCAAGCTGGGTAGAATATATCTGTTAGCCCTTTCGCTTTTTCTATTGACCCACTTGAGCCCTGGATGGGCTTCTGTTCTCCATCACTACGCAGAAAGTGTGGATGTCGATTACAGGTTGAGGTATTGACGCCACTGCGTCTCTAGCTTATTGTAGGGTTTCTGGCTTTTGATTTGTTAGAAATGAGGCACTCTAGCAGTTTATATCAGATGAATAAATGAAAGACTTACCTTGTTCGCTAGGGTGGATGTATGGCTGTGGTGAAAGCTGTAGGTATGGAGTAAAATGTGTCCAAACGGGAGGATGGAGCAAGGGGGTTTGAAGATCAGCAGACGCGGTCGAATAAAGAAAGTTACTTGCCTTTGGATTGGGCGCCATGGTAACCTAGAGTTACTTTGTATTGTGAAATACTAATCGCGGAATATTGAAGTGATGCATGTGCACTGTGCTGTAGCTGCAAGGGAATTGCATCGTGTGCAAAAGATGGATGTACAAAAGGGCATCACCAAGTGCCCTGCCCTACCATTCACTGAACAAAATGAAACACTAGCTGGCAAGTTTTCAATGGTGCCCTTCACTGACCAGAACTGCTTAGGATGTGGCACTCACAGCCAATCGCCTGGACATTGGCCCAAGAGGATTAAAGATCTGAATATACAGTGAGCGAGAATTTTACAGATGGAAACCTCTGTTCAAGTAATAGATTGATTGCAAGTATCCAGTCATCTGGCTAAGCAAGTAGGGTTCGTACGATCTATCCTGTTAGATCACATACTTCACTAGAGATTGTTCAATCCGCCTATTACTTTCATTTCGATCAGCCTAGGAATAGAGCTTCGGCAGCAACCCCATTCACACTCTTTCGACACTCTCAGGACAAATGGCAGGAGATTTAAACAGATCAAAGCCAGTCCTTGCTAGGCACAGACGGTGGGCACCAGGGAAAGCAACACATAGACTTGGAATACATATCAAATTTGGCAAAAAGTGGCCTGATGAGCCCAGCACTAATCCCGCCATATGCCACGCGAATTTCGCATCAAGGAGCGCGGCTAAATCCATATGTCTGCTTATCTGAACTGGCCCGGACCTACCATGCCGCCCCGAGCATCTCCAGCGCCGACTTGTCCAAACATATCCAATAAGTGCCGAGAGGAGTGCGGAGGCCCCTGTGGACCGGGGTTACCGTCAAATGGACCCTGGCCACCATGGCCAAGACCCATCAGAGCTTCGGCATTAGGTGGCATGGGAGGGAAGCCAGACGGGGGAGGGCCGTTCATGTAACCCGGAGGAGGCATCATACCTGGGGGAGGCGGGAATCCCGCTGATCCATTGCCACCTGCACGTGGGAAGGGTTGACGCTCACCGAGCGGTGGAACATTACCATGCATTGGCATCATATTAGACATGAAATTAGGGTTGACGCCCCGTGTTGGAGTAGGAATACCCGGTGGAGGGGCGAGGGGACCGGGGCCACCGCCCTGCTGTGGAGGAAGCTGGGGGCCGGCCCATCCAGGAGGCGGCAAGTGGTCGAAGCCTGGCGGTCTCTGCACGCCCATGCCAGGTATACCTTGACCTTGAGGAGCCCGACTTCCACCAGGGGTGATGGGAACTTGGCCGCCTTGAGGGAACGGCATATCTTCAAAGTAGCCCATTGGAGGCCCATTCGCGGGTCGTCGCCGAAGCTGATCAGGCTCCGCTCTCTGCATATTAGCTATCGCCGGATCATCAATGAAGTTAGGAGCCTTTGGTGCAGAAGCAAGCCCTGGAGGAGGTGGGAGCATATCTGGCATGTTCATCATACCAGGAGCGGCACCGGCGCTTTGTGGCTGACCATGGCTACCTTGAGCCTGGTTTGTGACGGGAGTGACACGGACTTGCTGCATTAGGCGAAGTAAATGTTCCCGTTCTCGGGCTTGGGGATCCACAGCAGGGCCAGCACTCCGCATAGAGGTCTCCTGCATGAGCATGGGTTCTGGCCGCTTGATTTGCTCGCGGGAGGGGGATGAGATGGCGCTTTGGACAGATTCTGCTTGGGGAAGAGACGGAGGCCGATTGGCTTGCGCGGCGTCGTTGTGAGGAGTCGCATTGCGCGACTTGCTCCCTCCCAGCATCTGTAGAATACGCTGAAACCCTTCCTGGTCAGCATCAGTAGTAGACGGCTGGACTGTAGGAGACTTATTCCCCAGCTGCGAATCGGTCTCTTTTGCCGGACTTCCGGGGGGCGGGCTAAATAACCCAGCAAAACGAGAAGATTTGAAAGGCTTCCCCGGAATATTTTCCTTCTTGGGGGTAGCCTGACTGACTAAGGGAGCCTCTAAAGGTGACGAGGTAGCGATTTCCTGAGGAGATTTGGAGTCACCCAGAAGTCCGAAAAAGCGTTCCATTGCTGTATCTGACTGGAACGGTGTGCCGCTGCTGCTGAAGATTTCGCCGTCTGTTGGTCTAGGCTCCGGCTTCTGAGCAGGGGCCGGAGTTGATTCCATGGGTGTCTCTTTCTTCTCCTCTACAGGAGCCTGAGAAGATCCCGCCTTCATCCTCTCTTTCCAACGTTCGAAATCTTCCTGAGTGTGCACCCTTCGGGACTCTTCCTTATCATTAGAATCCAACCACTCAGGATCCTGTTCAAATTTGGCACCTCGAGTCCAATCCCGGTCAGCACCGTGCCGGTCTCGACGCCAATCTCGGCTCCGTATCGGGGTCTTTTCTTCCTCGGCATCGGGGCCGTCCTGATTGCCGTCATCGCGGAACCAGCTTCCTTCATGTCGGGCACGCCCCGGCTGGCCGTCCCTCCGAGGAAAGAATCGACTATCCTTATCTTTCCCTCCCCGTTCATGATTCGGAGTCTGTTGGTCGCGTTCACGATTAAAATCGCGGGGTTCCCACCGATCAAAGTCCCCGTTACGTCTTGGTTTTCTGTCTTGTTCATCCTGGCCGAAGGTGCGACGGGGACGACCGGCGTTCCAGTCATCTCTGTCCCCACGACGAGGGGTGAAAGGGTCCGACTTTCCGTCACGTCGGTCAAAATTACTATCACCAGCTTCCCTATCCTTGAAGAACTTGCCGCGGAAATTTAAGCGGTCATTCTTGATGTCGTCCGAATCAGGTTGCCTGGATGGCCGTTCAGTAGCATCGATCGAGCCCTTGCCCGGTATGCGAGATGCGGACGCGAACGCGGTTTTTGGTGGCCCAAGAATAATATCCTCTACAAGGAATTACAATGTCCTCAGTTAGCGATGAACTGTTTAGAACCGTCCGTCTCGGCACCAATAGAGGACAGCCATAAGACAATGCTCTTATATTTACCTGAATTCGAATTGCGGGAGACATGACGAGTCTCAAAGATGCTCGGCCGTCGAGGTGTCGTCTCATTTGGATTATTAGGATCGCGAGGGCCGGTGGTTTTTCTCTGTGTCGTTGGGTCGGGTATCGGGCTAGTTCAACATCGGCCAAGTCAGCCTCCGAATCATAAGTGCAACCACAAGAATCTCCTACCCCATCCATTCTTCTACCGGAGGTAAGTTTGCAGGCTTAACGACCAGGGGCGACGAGCGTAGCCATAGCAGCTCATCAATCTGGTAACGTCGCGCCATGAGGATGGCTGGAGTGTGTGATGTTATCGGCAGACCGTTAGAACGTTCTCATTGGTTCGCAAGGATCAGAGGCGGGAGCTGGAGCAGTCGCAGGGAACGTAGGATCAGAGGGGAGAGAGCGTGTGTATGTGTGTGCGTGTGTGTGTAGTCCGGGGTAACGGTCCTTGTGTAATGGAGGGTGCGGTGTAGAGAGGTGCAGTGAAGCAAAGCCACTTGCTAGTGGCAAGATTGGCGGAGTTTCAATCGGTCAGTCAACTTGGGGACTCGATGAGGGGCACAGGGGAATCCGTTGTCAGATCAGAAGAATTTATCTGGCAGTTAAGAATGTAGTTAACTATCGTTGCAGAAGCCGAGTGGAAGGTGGGAAATAAAAGGCGACACAGCCGATGGTTAGTAGGTAGTAGGTAAATGATGGGGGGTTGTTGTGGTGAATGGTTTCAACGGAGAGCGCCCGATCTGAACTTGTGGCCGCAAAACGTTTGTTTCGACCGGTCGGCCTCAGGCTCTTGCACTCGACTTCCAAATGGGGAAAGTCGCTTTGTACCCTGACAAACAACAACACCAACAACCAGCATCATCATCAAGTCAAACACAAGCATTAATTATTCTATGCGCTCATTCTTTAATACACAAAAGTCACGATTTTTATTCTAAGGTCTATCAGTATGTGACGGTAGGGGATACTAATCATTCGCTACTATTCACAGGTATTACTAGCGCTCCTTTGGTGAGGACTCATTCACTTTTATATATTTTGGTAACATGACGTTCAGTATTTTGACAAAGCTCTAGTACTACATAATCATCATAGTGCAAAATTAACACACTATAAGTATTTATACGATTGTAACTAGTAGAGAAGCGATTTAGAAAGAAAAAGGAAAATTGAAAAAAATATCCAGCATTATGTCTATAGAAGAAAAGGATTTACATCCTCTCCTAAATTATTAAGCATCTACATAGCAATGTCTTCAACAACCTGTGCCACAGATCCTCCACTCCATTTCATAACCCGGTCCTGTTCCGAGGATTCATACAAAGAGAACGCCATGGCCGTAAAAGTTGGCACCTCCTTACCACCCAATGCTGGAATTTGGCTCTGGATCCAGCTGACAATGCCAGCCCGAGTAATCAAAGTTGTGCTACCTTGGACCTGCGTTGAGCGATACAGTAGGTGTAAAATCTTTCGCTTGGATGGAAGGCTAGGTCCGGGTGATTCATAGAAAGAAAGTGCTCGTTCAAACACATTCGCGCGGCGGTAGATCCCCATATCCTGCAAGCTCGTTAATGATGTTTCGCATGGTTTACGACATGGTAGCTTACAGTCTCCGTGCGAAGGCCTTTAATAAGTAGATCCAGTAGCCAGTTGGTCTCCTCGAAGTAACCATCATCCAATTCGGGTTCGTGCAACAGAATCTTGTCAATCCAATACGATGGAATCTTCTCTGGCTCCCAGGAAGGTGCCTTCTGGAGAAACTTGTTGACTTTTCCATAGAGCTTGTGCATTGGATTGACGAGAACTGCGAGACAATTGGAAGCACACTCTCCCACAATCCATGGCACGGGCGACTCTAGACCAATCTGCTTCACCGTCTCTAGGAGTTCACCGGTGAGAAGGAACACCGACCTCCACTCGACATATTTGGATTCCTGGTATTGTGAGCCATGTAATCTCTCCATTTAGCTATCATAGGAAAAGTATCAACTTACTCGAATCTTGGACATAAATCGAGTTATGTTAGCGAATGCCTGTCTTCGGACTTCTTCATGTTCTGAGCACAGGCAGAGCATCAGGTCTGCCACCCGGCCTTGCTCAACGGAGATCTCGATGTCCTCCTTCTCCCATCTATGCAATGCATTGTGAGTTGTGCCTTCCGTGGGTAATGTGCCGAATATCTCCTCCAGGTCCACGTTTGACTTCTCGTTGCTTGAACGTGAGGTTGTCGGTTGTGTTGTGCTAGACTCTCGTCCGTTGCTATCCTGGCTTGGCCCCTCTTCGGTATCTTTTAATGCCTTTTTCAGAGTCGACTTGGTGCGCTTATTGTCAGTGGCTGCTACCAACGTATCCCGAGCAGCCTTCAACGCTTTTGAGTCTTCCCCGGAGCCTTTCAACTTCCCAAGAATTTTAGCAATCCACACACCAACAGCGCTTTCTGCATCACCTCCGGACTTAACAACAAACGGCCATTGTTCAGTAATAGCAGCTACAATAGGGCTGACCGGTTTTGATACTGCCTCACACAGTGACTCAAGCAAGTCTTGGTAGTGAACGGGCTTTTTTGCCACCCGACAAACACAGTTATCGAAAAAGGATAATTGATGGTGCAGACTTCCAGAGTCGGAAGTCTCAAAGCTGGATACGAGTGACAGGTAGGAGCCTGAGTCTTGCAAGACAGAGTTCTCCGTAAGCACAGTTTTAAGCAGGACCTCAATATCTTTGAGAGAATCACGAGATGATGCCCCCGTTACAACCTTGAGAATCGAGGTGAATGCAGAGAATTGCATAGACCCTATAGCCATATTAGCAAGACGTTCAGGGCGATAATATTACGACGTACTTACCAGGCTTTTGCCACCAGCGCATCGATGCGGATTGCTGTGCGATCTTAAGGATACTACCCAATTGAGCAAGCAATGATTCCGAGTCTTCCTCACTAGGACTTGACTCGTCCAAACGTTTCAAGATATCAACCAAAACAAGAGAAACATCGAAAGTTTCTTCAAATGCCACATCAGACACAATTTCATAGAAACAGGCGAGCAGCTCGGCCACAGCTTCTTGCTGCTGCAGATCCTCCTTGGCAGTTTTCTTGTACAACGATACAACATCTTTCATTGAGGGACATCGACGACAGAACTCCGCGATTAATTTACCTTTGGCCTGAGCCCAAAATGATTGGCTGACACCATGATCTGAATTAAAAATACGAAGAACCTTTCGCAGCTTGTTGAAAGAGATTGTCAAAATCCGAACCGCAAATAAAGTAATTATCTCCGCGTTTAAATTCAGGCAGCGGGTTAGGGTCCTCTGGCTAAGCGGACGAGGTAGGATGTTCTCGATCACTACCGATACGGGAGGCGGCATAGAAGGCAGTTTATCCTTCCAACCAAAGTTCGTTGGAACAGGCAAGCTGACCGTGGAAAACAGAAGCGCGGACTCTGCCATCCATGATGGTGTAGGTTTCGGGTCTGAAACAAACATGGTTTTCTTTGTAAAGAAATCGGCAACAAGCTCCGGTGCTTCTTTAAAGATAGCTACCAGAAGCTCGATCTGCAAGCTGTCTGCGTCTGGACGAAGAGTCTGAGCGAGGTAAGATAATATCCCGTTACGAACAGGCACAGACTCTCGATACTTGTCGACATATACTGCAGAATCAAGCCCCAAGTCGATCGATGTGTCTTCCTCGCCTGGCAAGGACTCCGGGTCACTCCCGTTAGGGTACCAGCTCGTCTCCGACAGTAAGACGCCATGACTAGACTTGGTGCAGACATTCATTAGGATCTTATGGATCTCACTGGCAATAGATACGCCAGTGGGATTCGGCTCCTCAGACTCTCTGTCGTAGCCGTAGAGCGTCACAAGCTTCTCCAAGTTCCCTCGGTTGAAAAACTTCGTCTTCGCATTCCTGGAAAGGGAAGTATCTTGCACAATATCCCTCTCGATGGCCCTGATGATATCCAAAACAGTATCTCGGGGGTCTTTTCTTACATACTCCAAGAATGCTCTGATGACCTTGTGCTGTTCGATAATGTCGCTCTTCGCACTAGCATGCTGGAATCTCAAGTTTGCCAGAACATATCGTTGAGCATTCCGTCGGAGAGTCGACTTTTGACTGTCATCTGAAGCCTCCTCTAATTGAGATTTGTTCGGAGTTAAGAATACTTCTATGCGTTTAAGAGTAATATACCGCACGGCGTAGACATGCCGTGCAACAGCACCTCCGTCGAAGCTGACAATTTCAGTAAGGAGACGAAGACAGGGCGATATTAGATGCTCCTTAGATTTTGTTGCTGTCAAGCCGCGGTTGAAAAACCTTAGTTGTTCCTTTTTCAACAGAAACTTGCATAGAGCTAATCCAAACTCTCGGAAATCCAAGTTAGTAGATACAGTCTTAATAAAAAGAGCCAACACCGACGGAACCACAGTCAGCAACGACTCATTATTGTTACTATCTGCAAAATTCCAAGTTTGGATTAGATCTGGAAAGCAAGAAGGCTCTTCTTCATGCGAGATTTGCGAATCACAATAGGCTTTGAGGATACGGAATTTCTTGGCTTTCTCGCCCTCGTTCTCAGTCTGCCCAGTTGCGAGAAGAAATTCTTTGAATTTCTTAATGCCTGGAGTTACTCTGTGAGTATGGTTCTACACAGAACACACAAAAAGAGTAAGATAGCGTACTGACCTTGTTTGACCTCATTGATATTCTGTTGGAAGGTTAAAAGATTGCGTAGTTGCCCGTGAGACGTTATATCCGTAGGAGCAGCATTCTCCTGCGCAGAATCCACCTTTCTCCTCTTATTCCTGTGAAGCTGATCATCATGAGGAGACATTTTTGCGTGTGGATGATCTCCTGATTGAATTTGGAGACTTGAAACGCAGAGGAGATGAAATTGGAAGTTATGTAAAGCTTCCCGTCAAAATTTTGCGGGACCTGATTGGCTGCCGGCGACCCCAGTCACGGAAGGAGCGAAGAAACTTTTCCATGCAGCCTGCCCAGACTCCCATTCTACTAGTAGTACAGCCCTCATCAAGTTTCCGTCCAAATGCCTATTTTACACCAAATTTACTACAAGCCATGATCCCTCGCTTCGCTTGATGGCTTGATTTTACGCTTAGTAATACTAAGTATAGCTTGTTACTTAGTTAACTATAGCTAATTAAAAATTTCCTATTATGAAGTAATCTACGTAGGTCAGGCAAGCAATTCAACTTAGGTAGATAGGTAGATCAAACGATTCAATCCATCTATGTAAGTCAGTCAGATCAAGTGATTTAATCT